GGAAATAGAGTCCTTGCAAGAGAAAATGAGATGAGGCATCAGTAATGTTATTATACCAAGCACGTATTTAGCTCCAAAGTAGATATTGTAAGTCAAACAGAGAGTTTCATCAGATTCATTACCAATCCTGTTTTGCTGATTGCTCTCGAACAATCTCTATCCACAGCCCTATTATCTCAATGAAACAGTACGCTCTTGTTTGCAAAGCAAGTTCTCTAAATAGTAATTGCTGCAAGAAGTACTGCAGTGAAAGCTGGATCTATAAAGCCATTAACTGAACTAGCTTTGGGGCACAACAAATGGTGTCTTGGCCTGAACTTGCCAAGATCTTTCTCTGGCTGGCCTAGAAGTAGGATGTGAGTATCCTATATAGTAAGAAAAGGTATTGTCTGAGTGGAAGTGCTGCAACATCTCTGCTCTGAAGTTAGCATCATTATCAGTTCCAATCAGCAACTGTAGCATGTGTGGACTTTTAATATTTGGAAAATTTGAATATTCAGGGAGCAGATATTACAAATCAAACATGCTATTAACTCCTGAGACAGAAGCTACTTGATTTGAATTGAATGCATGTTAAAGCTAATGTTTGAATCAACTTAGAGATTTTATTGTTGTAACCATGCTAACATACGGATATGCCTGTCTTTCCAATACTTGATCTCTACTCAAAAGAGGAAAATACACATCTTCCTGTGCAGCTATCAGCAGATACATAGACCAGAAGTTTAATTTCTGTTGTCTCCAGGAGTCTGAGGACTGGAATTGAGTCTCATGCTGAGAAGGTGGAGAAACAGTGATGATATGATATGATATGATGTGATATGATATGATACGATACAGTACGATATGGTACGGTACGATACAGTACGATATGAAGAGTGGTTGACCCAATTTAGTGTGCCTCCATGTGTATCAGTTTCTATGTTGGTAGGAAAATGAAAGTTACAGATATTGATCGAATTCAGGTGACTAGAAATACTTGTTGTAAACTGAATGAATGTTCCTCATGCCTCATTCTTGTTTCTAAGGACCACGTGCCTACAGCAGCAGACCTCTACATGATTATATTGGCTTGGGAGATAAATCCCAAGTATATCATCTGATGCTCTTTTGACTCCATAAGACATAAACAGCGTAAGGCTCGGCTACCTCAGAGCAAATCATTGTGAGTGCACGAGCCCTAGAGCTACATCTGCTTGTTTCCACTCCTAGTAGTCCCACAGCAATGTGCATCTCTTTCCATCTGACTTTCTTGGTCATGAGCCAGAGCAGCAAGTCCCACGATAACAACAGGTGTTCTTGCATCCAGTTTTTACAAAACAGGCGTTTAGGACTAGCCATACCAATGCTGTCAAACTTTCTTTACCCGTTCATGTCTTCATTTTCCTCAACACAAATATTCATAGCCAGAAGCAGTTGGCCACACCACCAGAACCATCAGTATGGCTTTTGGAACTTTTTGGTCCTGGCGAAGGACTCAGTCCCTCTGCAGTCCTTGGAAAGAAACTTAAGGGCCTTTCCGCATCTGGTGAATATACTACACATATCTACTGGCTTTGTGGAGAATGGAACTGCTTCCCCTTATTTCTGAGGACAAATATTTTATATTTTTAGAAAATTAGAAAACAAGGCCAGGTTGGACGGAGCCTTGAGTAGCCTGATCTAGTTGAGAGGCATCCCTGCCTGTGACAGGGAAGTTGGATTAGATGATCTCTAAGGTCCCTTCCAGCCTATGCCATTCTATGATTCTATGATTCTATGATTTGTTGTGTCTAGAGTCTAAGAAAATGATAACACATCCAAGATGGTCCTACCATCCAGGTGTTCCATAGCACAACCCTTACCTAGGATTCTAGTAGTGGTGGCTACTTGTTTCAGGTGGTTTGGAATATCTTTATGCAGGCAATTCACTGAATAGCTGTCAAATATCCTTTAGACCATGATTTCTGAATCCAAGAGCCTTTTGTTGAGCTTTTATGAGGCTTGAACCCACTCAGAGTTTGAATTTTTTGTTGAAGGCCTTGTCTCTATTTCTACAAGAACTTACCTCCTCAACAGCATTTTCAAATGATGAAAAATGCTTTCACTGCAGTTGAAGACATCCTGTTACTCCAATTAGAATACACCTTACAGTTTTGAAATGAAAACAGGTCACACCTTTGCAAACACTAATGTTAAACTGCATCTTTGGTGCATAAGGGTTTGGCAGCTTCCAGGAGTTCCCATGCCAGTCAACTCCTTGCAGCAACAGCAAAATGTGCTTAGTGTCTACAGAGATACCATCTCATCCTCCTCTTCTATACAGCTCAGTCCCTGCCTCGCTGTGGGCTTTGAGTAATTAGAAAACATGAGTCTCAGGGTTATGTGCACAAAAATGTGTTACAGCTCAGGGCCAGTACACTCAAGCAGTGACAGTTACCAGCATCAGGATAACAAGAATCCAGACTTGCCATACATCTGCTATATTTAATGAAGCACTTTTTTTTTTTCCTAATCAATAGCTTATTGTATTACTGCATCAAAGGCTGTGTCTAACTGATATTTGGACCCTTTCCTCAAGTCAATAGAAATATTTTTATTCAATTATTTGAGTAGGAACAGAATCAAGTCCTTGAAATTGAAAACATCAAGGTTGCTCGTTACTGAGGAAGTCACAATACTCAGTAAATAATAATTGACTTCTCCTAAATGGTAATGTAAGAAGCAGAGTGGTTGTTGAGAGAACATTATGTGTAACTATTACACTTGTCCTTTTTATGGAACTTATTGGATCTCAGTGCAGTAGGGTGGTTGTTTATCCTAAAGCCCTCTCTTTTATATTCTATGTAACTTCAATTCGCCACTTATAAAAGGGGGATAATAGAATTTGCCCATCTCACCATACTGGATAACTTGGTACTTTTACAGTCTTGAGATGCTCATATAGCATGGTAGTAAGAAAATAATAATTGTTTGGTCACAGTGGTAATTGATGTGAGGATCATTATATGAAATCCACATTTTTGTTGTTCTTATGCATGTTACAGAGTTTTATCTGTTAATCATCACAGATAGTCAATTATGCAGGTAACCCAAGTCTAAATTTCCATATGGTTTTGCACTTCCCGAGTGGTCGATAAGAATGGATAACGAGGCTCTTACTCAAATACGTGAAAATATGTGCTTTGTGTCAATGCTTCAATGAAACATTTGATGAAGACAATAGAGCATACTTGAGGACATAGTTATACAAAGTCATCCTGAGTGATACAACTGGATCTACTGAAAAATAAGAACTTATAGATAAGTTAAAGTGCTAAACCTTGTCACATGGCATATTATTCTTGATGTCAAAGACATTCCTTTGTCTGTATAACATTTTTAGAATAATCGTTGCTAAAAAATCTGAATCCATTAGAAAGAGTGGGCTGATTAAATTGCATAATATTCTTATTCAACATCAATTACAGGTTTTTTGTCTCTAGTAAAAATTTCTTCCTTACAAAGCCAAAGGCAGGATAGAGTTTGCCATCTAGGAATTTGTTAATTTTCCTCAATCTGCTTCAGAGCAAGAATTAATTGCTGCTTCTTCCTCTGCCTTTTTAAATTTCAGATTCATCAATGTCATTTTTATACTTACTCTATAATATACTGTTTATTTAGTTCCTTATATTCCAGAAAAAATATGCAAACTGTTTTTAAACCTGATGATTAATATAATCCACTTTCACCTGATGAGATAAGGCATGAGATGAGAGCAATAATGAGATCCTAAATTTAGTTAATTAAATAAGAGCATTTGTTAGTGGTATTTCTTTAGAACATCCTGGTATTTCATGTCATATTTTTCAAAAGTGTTTGTCTTAAAACCTGTGTGTTTTTATGGTGTTGAAGTGATCTCTGTTTTATATTACAAGTTAGAAAAAACTGTCCACAGTCTTCACTAGAAAAACATATTTCTAAATCACTCAGTGCTGCCTAGGAATTGTGATTATGAAAGCCATAGGGGGCTCATCATAGATACTATTTTAGTTTTGCCTTATAAGATGTATCAGTATATACTAGGCACTTTTTGAAAGCTTTGCAATGGTCTAGAATTTAGAAATTGTATCTAATTCCACTGAGAAAAGTCAGTACATTATGTATTTCAAAGCAGTAAAATATTTGACACTGAATAAGAGATTCCATAAATAGCTATTCTAAAAGCCTCTTTCCTGAAATAAATCCTTGCTGAGGAGGAATCAGAGTTGTAATCTCTAGTGGAGTGAACTGCTGACATGAATATTTCTTACCTTATGGAATGTAAGCAGAGCTTGTTTCTCTCTTTGTCTCACTTCAAGCCTGTTAAAAGAAAATAGCTACATTTTTTTCACTGAAGACTGCTTCAACATGTTACTTAGCATTTTATGTGTATGTATATTTAAAATATATAAAATCTCATAGGTGAGAACATACTGTATTTGAAAATAATTACAGTCTCTTAAAGTTACAACTTTTTTCAGTGGTAGATATAATTCATGAGATGAACAGGGTATTGATATGTGGTCAGCAGCCTGTCATGTATCTTTTATTCTCTGCTTACAAGGAGAACAATCTGAAAAACATTTGGAGTGGAAATAGTATTTGGGTTTATTGTTTAATGTTTAGTCCTCCCACCTACTCCTTGTAGTTTGAGGCAATTGACTTGAAGTATTTTAACGTAGGCTGAGCTCTAAGGCTGTTTCAGCATAGCCAATACAAATGCATTTCTTTTTAAGTTAAATTGTGTAATGTTGTATTTTTTCCTCAAAAAAAAAAAAAAATCATCTTTAATAACTTTTTCTTGAAAGCTGCAACTTTGTAAAGAAAAATACTCCTGGAAGTAATGAGGAATTCTCAAAATTTTAAATGCATTAATATGGGTATCTTTGTCAATTGACTAGAGGCAGGCATCTCTGGAAATTTTCAGTTTATGAAAAGAACAAAAAAATAAATACAGCAACAATAGCAAAATGTGCATAATTCTTGCATCTTCTCCTTAGACTGGAATGGGACACCTACGTGTTACAAAAGAAGGCCTTCGTCTGGAAGGGGAATCAGAATTCTTGTTCCCTCTTTATGCCAAAGAAATCCATTCTCGAGTGGTAAGCAGATAATCTTTCAATGATGCTAAAATATGAACAGTTGAATTTAGGCAAAGTCCAGGCATCTGTCACGGAAATAGATATATATTTCTCTGTGTGTGTATATGTGCATACACACATCTTTTTGCATACTTTACAAGCATGATAATTAGGTCAGTGTTCTGATCCTGTGACAGAATTCACATTTTTCTCTTAGGCATGTGATATGAAGTAGCTCAAAAAGGAATTGTAAAGGGTCATTGTTTATAAGTAATGCTAAAATTTTAAGAGTGTGTAGAAAGTTTTTCATTGTTTTTCATTGTTTTTACTGAGATTATTTTTTTAATGCTGGCTTCTCTGTGAAACTGCTTGTTTTGTTTATTCATCCATTACAGAATAGTTTCAATATATCTAAAATTAGTGGATCGTATTGGAAAAGTTACGATTTCTCTAAACAGTTTTTGTCACTTCTAGGGCAACAATATTAAATGTATGATATGTTTATATATTTGTGTATATAAAATCTAAAAGACTAAATGGAAAGACTTAGGATTTAATCTTGTTTGCATTGACAGAAAATTGTATCATTATTATTGAGGTAAAAAAGTAATAACATACTTGTTCAAAGAAAATATTTATCAAGCAGATGAACTTTAAAATGGCACTGAGAATGAGTGTGGTATGAAAGATTATTATTGAAGTACTGGGTTTAGAGGAAGGAAGAGAGAATCTGAATTGCTTTTTCATTATCCAGGTGAACTCTGAAACGTATTCCAGTGAATTTTTTGTAGAGCGATATCTGTTTCTGGCCAACAAAGTGAATGTTTTTCAGAACTATCATCTGTAATCCAAACTCTCACAAAATAAAGCCATGTTTTATGAACATTGTCATCAACCAATGGGACATTTCATTGAACGAAGTACTAGTCAATGAGAGTAAAAGTCGAATTTAGATCTTTCATTACTTCAAGCATGTAATCATCCTCATCAGTAAGAAATAGCGAGTTATGAGACTTTTCTGAACCTAGGGAAGAAGTTCATGTTTGTATCGCTGTGGCAATAGAAAATGTGAATAAGTTTATCAGAAAACATGGTTGATACAGGATTTAGGATGATGTTTTTAAAATGCTTGATTACTGAAATTTAAGCAGCACCAATATATTTTACATCTATTAAGCCTTTCTTTTTCTCTCTTTCTGCAACAAGTGTTTCCAGCAGCAGAAACAGCTCTTACTTAGTGAAATTCCATTACTAAATCTATATTTTCGTTTTGTTTCTTATGCTGTATTCTTTTCTGCCTCATAGGCAGTGGGTAAACTATTTATGTCCTTAAATTAATTTCCCTTAAGGTTGTTTATCCGATAAGACATGTAACTTAAGACCAGCCTAGCTAATACTTAAGAACTCCCTCTGCCCCCAAAAATCGTTATACAATGTTAAGCTACTATTCATGCTGGTTTAATATTCCTTCCAGCTCTTCATACATTTAGTACAATATAGGAAGAAAGAGGTGTGGCATCATCTAATGTAAGCTTAGCTATCTAATGACCCATTGTGATCATTAGTAGCATGCATTAATTAGAGCCTTCAGGCTACTGCATGTCTCTGCCCCCCAGGAAGTGATAATTCATCAGAGGTTTTCTGTTTGTTTATTTGCCTGCTTTCTAAAATATTTGAACTCTCTAGAGGCTTAATTGCCTATAGCTTGGTCTCCTGAGTGCCATCTATGTATTTATTCTCATAAGGTTACTTATTTGTTATGATTTCTGCTTCTAAGTTTGTCTGTTAGAGAATTGGACAACTCACAACTATCGTAGCAGCTTTCTCCCTTGCCTTAATAGTGTTCTCCTTGCAGTTTCCTAACAGTTTTTGTCACCTAATGAGGTCTCTAAAGTGCTAAGAAAATATGTAGCAGAAAATTTACTTGCTGTGCATCGTCTCTAGAGCCTATTACAAGTTTATGCCTTCATTATGAGTCCAACACAGAATGTGGGCAATACTGTTTCATTTAGGCTAATATATATTCATGGAAAAATAAAAGATGAGCATTTATAAATATGTTACTAGATTTTAATTAGTCAACAACCAACAAGTGTGGAAGCTGGAGCTCTAGAATACAGTTTATTCGCACTTAAATTTAATATTACAAGTTGCTAACTTATTTTTTAAATCGACCAGTGGCAGTCAAATGAGTGTAATAAAGATGCCCAGATTTGTGGGTCATTTAGCACATATACTTAAATGTCATATATTTACCTGATCTTTGTTGACCTTCCTTTCCTACTTTGTACTAACTTGTTACTATTAATGTTCATTCTAACACACTGCTTACTTTTTTCCTAAGACTTTTCATTATTTCTGTTAATTTTGTTAGCTTTCACTTTTTCCGTGATATAATTCACAAAAGGAGATTCATTTATTGTGCTCACTCAGAGACTTTTTTTGATATAGCTTGTCTTCCTACTTGCAAGGTATCAAATATTTTTTTTAAAAAAAGTGTAAGTTGGACTCAAAACTGTGTATCGCTTCTACCACTGTTACTAGGTAAGTGTTTGTAGTAAAATTCTTCACATAAAATGTGTTCAAATTCTCAATTTATTTCATACTCTATGCATTAAATTACAGTGGGAGTGTGATTTGTGAGTGATTTCCAGGGATTAGCCCTTCATGGTGCTGCACAGTCTCTCTTGGGTCCAGAAAAAGTGCCAGAAGCTGTATATGTGAAAGAGATTGTTCTGTAACAACACTCCAGTAGTTAGAAACTCACTTATTTGTCTAGGAATGAGTATCCTCTTTGAGGTCACAAGCAGGCAGCTTGCTAATATCTTCTTCATATCACGTATTCCCTGATACTTTGGCAACTGAAATCTGCTTAGGCACCCTTATCAGGTACTAGGTTACTAGGTTCCTGTCCTTTAGATATAAAGTATGCTTTAATATGAAAGCACCTGCACTGTAAAAAACTTCTCTCTTTTTTAAGTCTACCAGTGGGGCTACAATTTGCTGACTGAAGTGAACATGATCAGACTTTTTGTCCCCAGATAATTTTATGATACTTAAAATCAAGTAAAGGCAATGGCCAGTGTGATCTCCCTGAAAATCAGCTGCATTTAAAGACAATTCAGGTGGTAAATTAAAGGAAAACATAAGAAGAACCCACTTAATTCCCTCCTCACAGAGTTTCAGAGCACTTTCAGATGATCCCTACCAGTTCTCTTGACATGAGCCTGTTTCATTACTCTGTATATCCAGTGTGATGGAGCACAGTGGGCAGCTAGGTCGTTCAGAACAGTTACTCGTCTGCTCTTCACAACAAGCAGTGGGTGGGGAGGCACCAACAGGCCTGAAGTACAGAGAGTTTGAGTGTAAGGTCTGGGAATAAGTAACGGAAATGGTACATCACCTAGGAGGAGTTCAACAAGGACCACAGCGAGCTATGAGTTAATACAAGGGGATGTTTTTGTTTTGGTGAAATAATTCCATGCTAACTGCAGTCTAGGAATGACATGAAATTTTGAATTGCCTACCATATCTTGTCTGGATTGTGGTAAGGTGTGGTAGCGATGAATGAAGATACCAATTACACCGCTCAGCATGTCTTCCATAGGTGGCACAGAAAGATGGATGAGCATCAGGCTCTGACAGCTCTGCAAATGTCCCACCTGTGGTACAACCTGTGACAAATCCTTAATGCCCATTGTGTTTGGCTACTTGCCCTTCCTTAGCAGAACATCTCACATGCTTGTTTTCAGACTGATGCAAGATTGGAAGTCCAGGCCAGCAGTATGGGAGGAAGGGTAGGGCTGAAAAAGAGATTGAGAAGTGAGATCTGAGAAGGGTTGACAGGGACTTAAATAAATGACGCCAGGTGGGTGTCCTTTCAAGGGCAATATGCTTTGCTGCATCCCCTCTTCTTGAATCCTTTCTTCAGGTGAACTACGCCTTTCCCCTTCCCTGGGCCAAATCTTCTCTTGCCTCCTGCCCCTTCCAGTACCCCTTACACTCACTGGAACTCTTCTGGAAGAGACGTGAGTGAGAGTGGAAGAGGTTTGAGGTGTCTGTGTCAGCGTTTTATGTGGCTAAGTTTCTTTTCCAGTGATTTCAGGCTTAGAGAGAGCATGAAAGTTGTTGCATGATTTGTTGTCTTTCCTACAACAAAGTCAGAGTTAGTCTTTTGTAGCAGGGACATGTGTCACCATCGATTTGGCAGTTGTCTCTCAACTACATACCTCATTCGACTCAGCACAGAATGGTCAAAATATCACCCTCCTGTTGGTCATATTTTCTTCTATGAAAATGTGTAGTTTCGCAGTTTGGTTTCGGTTTTAACATAAAATTAAATGCTTCCTAGGTCCTACTGTACCCTCTCTATGACTTTCTATTTTTCCTTAGATAATTTTCCAGCCACAAAGTTTTGGAACTGAGTATGATCCTCTTAAACTTTCATGGGAACATGTGTTTCTTTAATTGCTTTATATTCTAATTATTCTGTTGAATCTACTTTTTTCCCTCCGTTCTTCAGGACTCATCACTGCTTCTCCAGTCTACTCACAATGTGACTGTGAATGCTCGCAATTCAAACGGGGAAGTCACAGGCAGATTAAACGTGGGTAAGTCTAAATGATTTTTCCTTGTTTGCTGTTTTGGAAACATTTTAATGAATATTTATTTGCAAGGAGTTTGGAGGATATGAAGTGCTAAACACATGATTATTTTTTACTGTTATGACCATATTTGAATAGTTCAGCTGCTACTTAATAAGTACCAACAGTACATTTTCAATTTCTCAATTAAGCATTAGTTCTGTAAATATTTGAAGCACTTTTTTTTATTGCAGATTTATGCAGAAAGGTCACTGCAGAAGTTAGTCTTTTTCCTGTGTAAATATCTATTGATAGCTGCAAATCATTTTCTAAGAAAATGCAACAGAACAACATGGCTAGAGAGGTCTGTATGTCTCTCTTCATTTCCTAGTATTCCAGTGACTAATACATTTAAGCAGATGTCCTAAAAAAACTAACAATTCACAACTTGGAAATGTACATATTTTACTATATTTGGTAGCAGTAAGATTCATTGGTTTCCTGAGTAAAATCAATAGATCTAGACAGATGTAGGTGATAGATCTTGGCAGCAAGAATAAGGAGACCTTACTCTTTAAATCATATTTTTAAGCTTCACAGTTTTCAAACAAACTTCAAATAAAAAATATAATTTAAAACTTATAAAAGAGTCTGCCATTCCCCTTAAAAATATATAATTATACAATTAATCACCATTTAGCCTTTAAATGTTTTCAGATCTCTTCTTTTTTAATTCAAGCTAATCATTCTCTTAAAAAAATACCCCTAAATATTTCTCAAAACATGATAGTAGCATTCATATCTCATTTTGGTAATAATTAAGGGTATGAAATCTACACTACTTCTCGTTTCATAATATTAGTGCAGTTATTAAACTGTTTGCAGTAATTAACCATACAGTGACCACATAACCAAAAACACACACATCGCACAGTCAAAATTTCTGTGACATGGCACATGTCTTGTTAATTCCATCTGCTCCATACTGTTTGACTGACCAGATGTGTACCTGCACTGTGGTCATGTGCCCATCCTGCCTGACATGAAGAAGTTCTCAGGAGGTCCTTTGGAAAGGGCAGACCACAGAGCAGATCATTGACAACCGCACAGATCTGTCCAACCTGATCCCTGCTGAAGTCTGAGAAACTTCCAGGTGAAATCAGGGATCTCCTCGGTAGAGTACAATGGCATGAAGCCTTAGAGGGAAGAGGGGCCCAAGAAAGCTGGTTAATATTCAAAGATCACCTCCTTCAAGCTCAGGAGCAGTGCATCCAAACAAAGAGACAGTCAGGTAGGAACACCAGGAGGCCTGCATGGATGAACAAGGAGCTCCTGGACCAACTCGGACACAAAAAGAAGGCCTATAGGGGGTGGAAGCACAGACAGGTAGCCTCGGAAGAATACAGAGCAATTGTATGAGACATCAGAGATCAGGTTAGGAAAGCTAAAGCCCTAAGAGAGTTAAATCTGGCCAGGGACATCAAGGGCAACAAGAAAAACTTCTATAGATATGTCAGTGATAAAAAGAGATCTAAGGAAAATGTAGGACCTCTCCAGAAGGAAATAGGGGACCTGATTATCCGTGATATGGAGAAGACTGAGGTTCTCAGTGACTTCTTTGCCTTGGTCTTCACTGGCAAGAGCTCCAGCTGCACAGGGAAGGTACACCATGCAGAGGGACCTTGACAGGCTGGAGAAGTGGGCCTGTGAGAACTTCGTGAAGTTCAACAAGGCCAAGTGCAAGGTCCTGCACATGGGTTGAGGCAATCCCAAACACAAGTACAGGCTGGGCGGAGAATGGATTGAGAGCAGCCCTGAGGAAAAGGACTTGGGAATGCTGGTGGATGAGAAGCTCAACATGAGCTGGCAATGTGTGCTGGCAACCCAGAAAGCCAACTGTATCCTGGGTTGCATCAAAAGAAGTGTGGCCAGCAGGTCGAGGGAGGTGATTCTGCCCCTCTACTCTGCTCTTGTGAGACCCCACCTGGAATACTGCATTCAGCTCTGGAGTCCCCAGCACAAGAAGGACATGGAGCTGTTGGAGCGGGTCCAGAGGAGGGCCACGAAGATGATCAAAGGGCTGGAGCACCTCTCCTATGAAGACAGGCTGAGAGAGTTGGAACTGTTCAGCCTGAAGAAGAGAAGGCTCCGGGGTGATCTTATAGCAGCTTTCCAGTACTTAAAGGGGGCCTACAGGAAAGCTGGAGAGGGACTTTTTACAAGGGCGTGTAGTGATAAGACAAGGGGCAATGGCTTTAAACTGAAAGGGGGGAGATTTCGATTAGATATAAGGAAGAAATTTTTTACTCTGAGGGTGGTGAGGCAGTGGAACAGGTTGCCCAGAGAAGTTGTAGATGCCCCATCCCTGTCAGTGTTCAAGTCCAGGTTGGATGAGGCTTTGGGCAACTTGGTGTAGTGGAGGGTTTCCCTGCCCATTGCAGGGGGGTTGGAACTGAATGATCTTTGAGGTCCCTTCCAACCCAAACCATTCTATGATTCTATGGAATATTTGATGTTTAAGTAATCTCTTTTTGCCTGGCAATGCTCTTTATTGAATTCATTAATAATTGGTCTTATGTGCTGTCTGGTGTAGTTGCTACAATTGTAAATACTAAAATGAAATATTACTAATAATACATCATACTGATTTTAGACTGATAGAAAAGTGTTGAAAAAGCAGTACAAATTTAATGTGGTAAAGAATTCTGTTTAAAGATATGGTCGAAAAACAGTGACTGGGTTAAGTGACAGTCTGTTAAAGTAAATTACCGTCTATACATACCTTGATATTTTTAGTCATTGTCCCCAGCCAGTCATAAAATACATGCAAGATGATGTTCCCTTATAAGAGGTGTGAAAAATAGGTGTGTGGCTGATTTACTTTATATACACAAGCCATTGCTAAAGGAGGTTGCCAGCATGCTGGAATTATGTCTTAATATGCTGTTCATCTTATAAATATGAGTAGTTGCCATTGTGAAGGAGCTGTATAGATAAGTTTGGGATCATTCCAAAGATGACAATATAATGTAGAATCACTATATAATGTAGTATCACAATATAATGTAGTATCACTATAACTCATAACAAAAATACCTTTTAACTCATAGAAGACTGTGATTCAAATGAGCTGTTAAAATATTTTAATAAGTTGCTAAGAGTGATTTAAATACCCAGTCTTCAATAGAAGTAATTCGCAAGAGAGATGTGAAACAAATCTTTACTTGAGGAGTTTCTGTGAAATTCATCACATGGGGATAACAAACACATATTACACAAGAATGGAAAAGGTTTCCCTCATGAATCACAAATATACTAAAATTACATCAAATGTGAGCAACTTTCACCATGAGCACTCTTGTTTTAAAGTCTCTACATGCTTCTCAGTTTACCTGCTTGACATACCTCTTGCAGGAGTTATGTAGACATTGTAGCTCTTTAGAAGTGCTGTAGATCTTGCTGTGTTTTGGACCATGTTCCATAATTACACTGCTTTCAGAAGCCTCACTGAATGCAAATACATTTAACTGCTTACCAGGAAAAGAATCGTTTCAAAATAATAGGGATCATCACTGAAAAACCAAACCAATTCTGTGCTTTACTCTTTTTTGACTTCAGTATCCCTCTGATGACAAAGGTATCCATTTTGTTTGAGTTACTCTTTAAAATCGTTTAAAACTCATATATGACCAAAGTAACTCATATTAAAACCAAGTAAATAATTTAAAAATGATAATAATAATTTAAAGCAAAAAAAAAAAAAAATAAAAGGAAATAGAACATTTACTTAAAGAATTATGGGGATGTGATTGCTTTGGGAATATTTCTGGAAGAAATGGTTCTTAAAAAAATGATGTTGTCCAAACAGCAAGAAGGAATCTAAGCAAGGCACAGATGTGGGAAGGTAGAGCATTGAGAGTCAGAGGGAATAAAGAAAGCTGTGGAGTGAGAAGCCTATAGGCAGGGCAAGGATGTCTACAGAACAGATGGTAACTACTTTCATTAGAATAGTTCCTGTCTTTAAAATCATGAATAAGATTCAGATGTCATTATCACAGCTTGCTCATCAGCCTTCAAAACTGAAATATCTAGAACTTTCTTTGATAATCCAATAAAGCACTTGAAGAAAGCTGCTAACCATCATCTCCAAGATTCCTGTTCTTACCAGTTCAAAGCCTTACTCAATGCTAGAATAAAAAAGAAACGTAGCACCTTTGATTTGGACCCTGAGCCATAATAAAGCAACTTAGTGTAAATAATTATCAAACTTTTTCAATAATGAATGATAACGAATATATAATATGTACCAAAGAAAGGTATAGACTATATAGTCAATTATCAAATACTTAAAAGCAACATTGGTATCAAACAGTAGATGATGCTTCACTGGAGTAAACATATGCTTACATATACCATCTTATATTCAGCAGATGCATATAAGACAGTCAGATTTTGCAGTAGTGTTCCAGTGCTGAATATTAAGAAAGTGAATGAAGAGCAGCATGTTTCCAATATCTTTACTGAAAAGTAGGGCAAATTTTTGAAAAATGCTTTTTTTCAAGGATCATGTAAGGAGGCTTCAACTTAGAGAAGACACTAAATTCTGTTTGTAATATGTCTTTTTCAGGAGAAAAAAAAAAAAAAAAAAAAAAACCCACAAATGAAAAGGGCTTCCAAAGTCACACAAAGTGTGTGAGAACTGATTCCAGTACAGTTACACCAAGGAACAGTAACATCAGTAGCTTCAGGTCAGGGGTTCAGTTTAAAGTACTTAAGTACTAGCTAGAGGGAATTTATTTAGATAGCTGTATTATGAAGCTGTTCTGCACTTTGAAACATGAAATTGGCATCACTCAGAAAACATGGGTATATGGTAAAAGTCAGAAGGGTTTATACGATCTGAAAACAGAATCACAGTCAAAATTCTGCCTAGAGACTATTTTCACATCCATCACATTACTCTGAACAGCTGTTACAATGAGAGCATTTGTGCTATCCCACCCCCCTTTTTTCAAACAGGAACAACG